TGGTACCAGGGATTGAACTGAGGACCTTGCACTTGCAAGGCAGGTGGCAGAAACATTGAGCTTAATCCCTGTCCCAGAAGATTACTTTTTAAAAACGTAATTCTGTCCTGCCTTAATGTCAGCTGTGGCATGGCTGCACAGGTTATTGGGGCAGAGTCTGAGGGTGGCATCCGAGCAGCCTGCAGTGGCACCAGACCCTTCCTGACAGGATCATTAGGTGTTCCAGCTAATGCCAGCTGAAAACGGGCAAAACCCAAACTGTGCAGCTACTCATATCTTTTAGAAACATTTTAAGAAAAATAACCTTGCATTGATTTTTGTTTTTTGAAAAGCGTTAATTACTTCATATCGTATGCATAATAGGAGATGCTGAAATTGAAATGTGCACTGTACCATAGCAGAGGTGAAAAGGAATAACTAACAACAATACACACTGCTCCAGGAATCTAAAACTGAAAAATTAATTTTCTAGCAAGTCATTTGGAAACATTCTATGAGCTTGTTGGTCATTAAAATGATTCTTATGTTAGCAACTTAACGAAATAAAAAAAAAAAAGATTGCAATAATCCTGAGTACAGTTGATAGCAAGGCCCAGCATGAAAAGAAAGATAATGACCCAGTATTTAGTTAGTATTATGTTTCTAAATCTATATTTGTATTCGATAGGAAGCAAAATATGTCATTTGGTAAAACTGAGGGATTAGTTGTAATAATTAAGGGTCGAATGTTATTCCTAAAACTAAACAAGCACATGATATGGCAGAACTTTTAAATTACAGGTCTGGATGAGATGTGGAACAAAAGACTTGCGTTGGCCTCTGTAACAGCTGGCATCACAATGTGATAATCACAAATTACACTTTAGCCCTCACACCGTCACGTGTAATTTAATGAATAGATTAACAAAAGAGAGGAAAAAAAGGACTAACATTTACAAAGGCCACTTTGTGTCGCATACTGTGCTGGATTCGTAACTATTCCTGATTCATTGACTTCACATAATCGCTCTGGAAGGTAGGTACCCTTTCTGGTTTATGGATTGCATTTCTGCAAGATGATAAGTGCTCATGATTACCCCGTTAGAACACCCAAGTTAGTCCTGAGTCAAAGCTCCAGCTATTCCTACTATACTCAGTGACCTTTAAGTTCAGCATGTTAGCTGTATTGAATATTTGAGGGAAAAGCAATCATGATATCTACTAAAGGAATAATATTTTAAGGAACAGATTTTGCCTAATTGGTCAGATGTTATTTCCTGTGGTTGAAGAGGCATCTTACTCAATTTTAAAGCTTTATTGGTGCTAATGAATGGAAAGATCCTTCAGTAATTTCTTTTTGTTCTATACATTTTAAGAAATGATCTTAAAAATAAAGATTTGTCTGTCATCATGTTCATCTCTCTAAATGTCAGTTACCTTAAAACACTCCAAAAAACATGCTTGTGTGAGAGAGAAGGGTTTGGTTTAAACTAACGTGGATATGGAGGCTGGAAATGTCAAAATAAGCTCTGATGCTACTAAATAGGTAGAATTTTATATAACTTATAAATCTTTAATATATAAAATCTCTATGCTCTCATTATACTTTTGCTTCAGTTAGAAACATTATTTTAAAAAAGCTATGCTTAGCTAATACTGCACATATATTAGGCAGGGACAATAATGATCTGCACAATAAATTAAAAATTAATGTTAAATTGCATAGGTCAATAATTTCCACACATGGATTTTCACACATTAAGTAATGATGGTAAAAATGTATTCGTGAATAAATGCTATTCCTGAAGCATATATTGCATGTCAGACACTATGATGTGCTCCTCAAACATTATTGCTTTTAATCTCTACATCATGTTTGTGAACTAGGTGTGTTAAAAAGAAGGAAACTGAACTTAATGAAATTGAGAAACTTGTCCAGGGTTACATGGTTTCACACATACCCCACCTGGACATTCAACCTACGTAAAGAAGGCCAAGACGAAATTATTTTAATTCCTGATTTTAACTACTTTTGTATACCATTTATAACTGTTGTGTTGGAGTAAATGATTCATTTTCACCTTTTAATATTGGGAAATTTCTCCTATTATTGTCAAATTTTTCCCTTTACAGGGAACCAAAGTCCTGCAGATGTTCATGTGGTACCTGAATCCGCGGCAAGTCTTTGATCTTTCTCAGGAAGGGCCAAAAGATGCGTAAGTCTGGAAATTCCCTGTATAGTTCACATATTTTTAGGCAAGTGATAACTTTCTGATTTGGGATCCAGCTGCATTATTGATTATCTTGTGAAATATTTTGTGACCATCACTTACCTCCTCTCTGGCTTATAATTTCTTTCCTTTAAAACTTGATTTCATGTTGCTAATCCCATTGGATTAATTTACTTCCAAATTTGTCTTCTCAGTTATTGACTCAGTGAGCACATGTAGTGTGTTTGCTGCTTGTGTATATGCACCTGTAGATTATGCCCCTCAAATCTTTAACTTGAGAAAAGACTTTTTTTGTATTAGCACACGTGCCAGCCTGAAATGTCAATGGGAAAATAGGCCTAACTCTGGGAAGCACAGCCATGTACATTTATGAACATTGGTGTGTGTGTGTGTGTGTGTGTGTGTGTGTGTGTGTGCTTGCATGTGTGCATGTGTGTATGTATGTGAGAGAGACAGAAACACACAGAGAGAGAGAGAGAGAGAGAGAGAGAGATTAATTTATTGTACTTAGGGACTCCACACTAGTGTGGGGGAAGCATTTTAATTCCTGTTCTGTCCTTTTCTGAGCTTCTCAGAAATCCCATTCTCTGATTTTGTTAGATGTTTTAAAAAGTAAATTTAGATGGAGGTGGCTGTGCATAGTGGGAAAGAGCAGGGACATTTTCCACTGTTGTTTATCTCTATACTAAATCCATCTACTTAGCCCTGATATTACTTGATAAACATTAGAATATAAGGGATACCTGTTGTTTTAATTTTTTTACTAAGCAATATCAGAGACAAAGAGATATCAACTGTGAGGTGGTTTCTACAGAAATGGTGTTCCTGCATAAAATGAGGAATTACAGATTTCAAGCATGCAGGAGAACATGAATTATGAAAGTTTAATTTACTGTGGTTCTCAAAGTGTATGAATCTTTTTTTTTTTCCACAGAGTTTATTGTAAAACTTCTATGTATTTTTTTTTTTTCTGTATTTGATTGTGTTAAGGTTAACCTGCTATCCTGGCTTATGCCTGTTTGGATGTTAACTTTTTAGAGGATTTCATCACTTTAGTTAGATGTTAGATAGATGTTTCATAGGTCACCATAGAGTGTGTAATGGGCCAGGAAATATTTTCAGAAAAATATTATTAGATTTAAATCAGTAACATTAACAGCTCTTCTTAAGCAAAAGATTGGAAAGGGCCAACATTCCTGTATCTTCTTGAAAGCCAAGAAGAAAGATAAAATGAGGAACTTCAAATATATAAATTCAAAATTAAAATGAAAACACAGAATCTTCCTACTTTTGACTGGCCATATAAACAAGGCTGTGAAGGTGACTTCTGGGTGTGGTAGTAATAATGAGAGTGGGGAATCCTGTCCATCTTTTTTTAAAAAAATATAGTCCTGGGATTAAGAGTGGGAAGTATAGGTTTGAAAAATAGATCCAGAAAGAGCTAATAAGATATAAAGAGGAGACTTACAAGGACTATTAATTACTAGTTAAAGATGATTTTCTTTAAGAAAGGAGGGGGAAAACGGGAAAAGAAAAAAAAAGGGAAGTAAAAACAAACTAAAAAGAAAAATAAATGTATCAACACAGTAATGGGAGGAATGAGAAGTTACACTATCAGATGTACCCAACTCATTCCATCATCAGCCACTTAAAATTAAAGTCTGCTACAGAGGTTCAGTCCGGTTGTTGGAGTCAGTCCTCCCACAAGGTGTGCGTATCCTCACGATTGTGTCTTTTCTCCAGTGGATTCCACCTCACTCATTTTGTCCTGTGTCTTCTGTCTGCTGTAGGCAATAATATGTTCTCTTGTTTATTTTGTCTCCTGTTTCTTCTGCAGACTTGAATTGTATAGGAAAGTACCAAACCTGAGAATTCTGGCCTGTGGTGGGGATGGAACGGTAGGTTTTTGAAGGAGAATTCAATTCTTTCCCTGATTTCTTCTGTTTTTCTTACTGTTTTCCTTGTGATGGGCTTATTTTTCATCTTCAGTCTTTCCAGTCCCCTACAATGAATGACTGTTGTTCATTACTTATAACCCCTAAGGCTTAAAAGGTACTAATCTGTACTTCCCCTTTCTAAAATATGATTCTCTCCTTGAGCTGCTATATCCTTTTTTATATCCTTTTCTATTCCATAAGGCAAACGTGTTCGTAGAAATGCAGTTTATAGGTGGCTCAGTTCTTTTAAATATGTAAAATGGCATCTCCACTTCTTTTTAATACTTCTTATTGTTTATTTGTTAAATTTATTTTTTAAACTGACACATAAGATAATAAAAATATGCATATTATTTGAGTATCATGTAGTTTTGATGCATGTATACATTGTGTAATGTTGAAATCAGGTTAAACATTTATTGCCTTAAACATTATTTCCTTATGGTAAAAAAATTCAAATTTTTTGTAGCTTTTTTATATATACGCTATATGCTTAACATTTCTTGTTTATAGTCTCCCTACTGTAAAGCTCCCAGAAGAGCTCCTTACCCCTGTCTGACTTAACACACTGTTCATCAGTCTCACCTCTCTCTGTCCCTCGTTCCCTTTTACTCTTCCCCAGTCTCTGATAATCACCATTCTACTTTCAGATTCTATGAAATTGACTGATTTGATTCACATATGAGAGAGATCATTTGCTGCTTAGATGAGTGCCTGGCTTATTTCACCTAACGTAATGATTTCCAGTTCCATCTATGTTGCTGCAAATAACACTTTCATTTTTTATGTCTGAGTAGTATTCCGTTGTGTATATTTTCCTAATCCTTTCATCAATTAATGGATGCTTCCTTTGCTTCCGTCTCTTTGCTATTTTGAGGAGCTTTGCATTGAACGCAGGAATGCAGATGTCTCTTGGCCATGGTGACTTCATTTCTTTTTTAATGTATACCTAGTAGTGGGATTGCTGGATCATGGAATGGCTTTAAAATTTTTTGAGGAGCATCTGTACTTTTTGTTGGCTGTAATAATTCGCATTTCAACCAATGGTATGCAATTTTTTTTATACCCTCACCAGCCTTGTTATCTTTGGTCTTTTTTGATAATAGCTATTCTTACTGGGGCAACGTGCCATCTTATTTTGTGTTTTATTTACATGTCCTTGATGATTAGTTGTGATGAGCATTTTTAAAAATACACAGTTGGCTTTTGTATCCCTTCTTTTGAGACATTTCTGTTTATGCCTATTGCCCACTTTTTTTGGTAACAGGGATAAAATTTGGGACCTTACTGAGCTAAATCCCTGGCCCTATTGCCCACTTTTTAATTGGGTTCATTTTTAAAAAATTTCTTGTATATTGTGGATACTAACCCCTGGTCAGATGTATATTTCACACATATTTTCTTTTAGCCTATAGGGTATCTCTTTACTTTGATGATTGGTTCATTGCTGTGCAAAAGCTTTTTTTTTTTTCCTTTTAAAGCTTTTTGGTTTTATGTAGAATTGTTGATCTGCTTTTTTTTCCTGTACTTTTGGAGCTTTTTCTAGAAACTCCTTACTCCTTCCAGTGTCCCGAACATTTTCCTCTGTGTTTTCTTCTAGTAGTTTCATAGTTTAGATTCTTACTTTTAAGTCTTTTGTCCACTTAGAGGTGAATTTTGGTAATGGTTAGGGGTCTCCTTTCACTCTTCTGTACATGGATATTCAGTTTCCTCAGCACCATTAATTGAAGGGACAATACTTTCTCCAATGCATGTTCATAGAAATTTTTGGAAGATTATTTATAGTTGTGTAGGTATGTTTACTTCTAGGCTCTATTCTGTTCTGTTGGTCTATGGTTCTGTTTTTTATGCCATTACAATTCTGTTTTGATAATGACTGATTTGTAGTATATCATGCATTCAGGTAATATAATGGTTCATCATTCTTTTTGTTCAAGATGTCTTTGACTATTTGCACTTTTTAATGATTCTGTACAAATTTTAGGATATTTTCTGGCTTTGTGAAGATTGTAATTGATATTTTGAGAAGGACTGAATTGTATCTGTAGATTGATTTGGGTAGTATAGCTATTTTAAGAATATTGAGTCTTCCAGTCCCTGAAAACAGCATGTCATTCCATTTATTTTTGTGCCCTCTTCAGTTCCTTTTGTCAGTGTTTTATAGTTTTCTTTGTAGAGATCTGTCACCTTTTTGGTTAAATTTATCCTTTGGCATTTTGTTTTCTTTGTGGCTATTATACATGTAATTGTTTTCTTAATGTCTGTTTCAGATGATTAAATATTGTTGGACAGCATTGTTAGTGATTTTTATATGTAGATGTTTGTATCCTGAAACTTTGCTAAATGTAATTATTAGTTTTAATAATTTTTGATGGGGTCTTTTGGGTTTTGTATATGTATTATCATGTCATATACACACAGTGACCATGGGTCTCCCTCTTTTGCGAATAGATACCCTTCAGCCTTCCTCTTTTTTACTTTCCATGGCTATGGCTCTCAGTATTATATTGAATGGGAGTGGGGCTTCTTTTACTTGCTCTAGATCTGAGAGTGAAGCCTTTGGGCTTTTTTCTACAGGGTATAATGTTAGTGGTTGACATAATAAATAGCCCTTATTATGTTTAGGTACATTTCTTCTATATCTAATTTGTCTACAGTTTTTATCATGAAGGGGTGTTGGAAGTTTTTACATTTATTTTTTTATTAGCACATATTTGCAAGTCATGCAGTTTACATCTTGGAATGTCCACATGTACATATTACAGCTTGTTTCCTGTTTATAAAAAATCCCTTTCCCCTTCCCTAACCCTTCCCCTTCTGCTTCTCTTATTCTCTATCCCCTTTTTCATACTTGTTGGTACTTTTAGTCTTAGCTCACATTATGGCATGTAGTATTTACATTAATTGGGATTATTAGGTTCCTGTGCATAGCATGTTTTTATCTTTTTTATTTCCTCTTCCCTTCCTCTTCAACTCTTACCCTTGCTACCTTGGACCACTTCCTTGTTGCAAGAAATATGTGGGGTGTTGAATTTTATCAAATGCCTTTTCAATATTTACTGAGATGATCTTGTGGTATTTGTCCCTCATTTTGTTAATGTGGAATGCCACATTGTAAAATTTGGATATGTTGAAACATCTTTGTATCTCTGGGGTGAATTCCACTTCATCATGGAGAACATTTTTTTAAAATGTGCTATTGTTTACAGTTTGCCAGTGTTTGGTTGAGGAATTTTGCAATTTTGTTCATAAAAAATATTGGCCTCCAGCTTTCTTCATTTGTGATGTCCTTTTCTGCTTTGGTATTGAGATAAAACTGGCCCTGTAGAATGAGCTGTGGAGGATTTTGGCCTCTTCCATTTTTATGAGTAATTTAAGAATTAGTGTCACTTCATCTTTAAATCTTTGATAGACTTCAGCAGTGGAAGCATCTGGCCTTGGGTATTCTTTGATAGGAAATTTTTTGAGTTCTGATTCAGTATCATTACTTGTTAATACTGTTCCATTTTTCTATTTCCTCAGTTTTGGTAGGGTGTATATATCTAAGAATTTGTCCATTTTTTCTAAGCTATCAACTTTGTTACACATTTGTTCATAATAATCATTAATGATCCTTTGTATTTCTTTAGTGTCAGTTGTAATGTACCCCCTTTTCATCTGTCATTTTCTTGAGTCTTCTTTTCCTTAGCCTGGCTAAAGATTTGTCCACTTTGTTTATTTTTTCAAAAACAAGATTTTGTTTCACTGATGTTTTGTGTTTTTGGTTTTGCTCTCATTTATTTCTGCTATGATCTTCATTATTTCTTTCCTTCTACTAATTTTGAGTTTGCTTTGCTCTTGTTTTTCAAGTTCCTTGAGATTCAGCAATAGATTGTTAGGAATCTTTCTGCTTTTTAAAGAATGTAGATGTTGACTGCTGTGAATTTTCTTCAGTGATCTTTTGCTGTATCCATAGCTTTAGGCATGTTGTGTATCTGTTTTTATCTATTTGGAGAAAACTTTAATTTCCTTCTCAGTTTCTTCTTTTCTTTATCGGTCATTAAGAATCAGATTGTTTCTACATATTTGAATAATTTCCAAAATATTTAACTTTTGATTTCTAGTTTTATTACTGTATTGTCAGAAATTTGTGATGAATACATTTCTTTTAAATTTGTTGAGACTTGTTTTCAACAAGTTGTATGCTTTATCCTGGAGAATATCCCATGTGCTTATAAGAAGAATGCGTTTTCTGTAGCCTTAGATAACGTGTTCTGTAGATGTCTGTTAGGTCCATTTAGTCTAGGGTGCAACTTGACTGTGCTTTGTTTGTGTGTTTTTTGTTTTATTTTGAGAGAGGGTCTCATTATGTATTTTCAGCTGGTCTTGAACTCACTGTGTAGCTCAGGCTGGTCACAGACTCATGACAATCCTCCTACCTCACCCTCCTTCCTCAGTACTGGTATTATAGGTGGGTGCTGGCATGCCTGGCTGACTCTTTTTCTTTGTTGTTTTTGTCTGTTCCTAACAGTATAAGGTTAAAGCCTCTTACTATTTATTATTATCTTGGCGTCTATATTCCCTTTAATATCCTAATATTTGCTTTACATATTTGTGTGTGTATATATATATATATACATACACACACAATTCTAACTATATAACAATTCTAAATCTATATAATATAATTCTCTCTATATATAGAAATAACTATTCTAAATATGTATATATAATTGTTATTTCTTTCTGCTGAAGTATGCCTATATTATTATATAATAATCTTGTTTCTTTTTAATTTTATGTCATAGTATAGCTACTCATTTCTCTTGGATTCCTTTACTTTCAGTTTGTGCGTGTTCTTGGAGGTGGAGTGAGTTTCTTGTAAGTGGTATGTAGTTGGATCTTGACTTTTCATCTATTAACTCACTCTATGTCTTTTAATTAGAAAATTGAATCCATTTATATTTAAGGTAATTATTGAC